AAATTTTGAAGTGGGCTTAATTGAAATTAAAATTGGGCTCAATTCATGGGCTTTTAAAATTTGTCATGAAGGGGTTATTTTTTGGGCTTTTAGGATGTGTTAAGGAAAATTGATTTTGGGCTTGGCCAATAGGCTTGAAGGGTTTTAAAAGTTTCATGCCAAATTGGCTTTGGGTTTAGTATGTTTAAATTGGTGTGTAGGCCAAATTTGGTGGATTTTTGGACTTGGTAGAATTTTGGTGTGAATTTGGGCATTTGGCTCAAAATTGGGGTTTTTTGGTTTGGAATTGAAGTTTGGTATTGGTGTTTTGGTGAAATTGAATTTGGATTTGGTATTGGAATTTGGAGGGCTTGAATTTGGGGTTAGATTGGATATTTTAGGGAATTTAGGTAAATTTGGTAAGGTGATCATGCATGTCATGACTAGCCATCTTAGGGCCATAGGACACCAAATGAGAACTCATTTTAGAGTCTCTACATGTTCGTCTTAGCCATCTTAAATAAAGGCTAAGGGCTTGGGACCACCTATGTGAGTTCTCTACAGAGTTAAGGAAGTCGGTCTAGGGTCTGTGATTTTAGGGTTTTGAGATATGTGAGGAATTTAATAGGTTTAAGTGTGTGTAGGGGTGTATGAAACCAAACGTGAGCCACCTAGGGTTGTCCTAAGGTGCATTGAACTTATAGGAACTCACCCTTGAGTCATCACATGTTAGTTTTAGCCATCCTAAAAGACATTTGGGGGCTTCTGACCACTTAGGTGGGACCTGCTCAAGCCTCAAATATAGGCATTACGGGATATTGGGCGTGCACTTAACAGCTTTCCATTCGTGTTTCGGGCTTAGTTAGAGGCCCTAACGCTTAATTAAAGTCAATTAAGGCAAAATCAGGCGATTAGTTTAAAATTCAATTTTTTTTATTACGGGCTGGCAAGAAACCACACTGGTGTTATTAACGATGTTATTCGCAGTTGTATTTCGGGGTTATTGTGAGTTTTGCGGCAGCAGTGTCATTCGTGGGTGTATTTCGGGTGGATTTTGGTGTTACCACGGTTCTGAAAAAAGCAGTGTTATCCGTGTGTTATTCGTAGTTGTCGTTTGGTGTTATTGACGCAAAAAAAAAGCCACGCTTGGTGAAATGCGGTGCCACACGATTATTTCGGCAATTTAATCGGCCAACAGGTGTATTGGCAAGTTTTAATTAGAAAACGCAGTGTTATTCCGTAATTTTAATCGGCGGGACGGATGTATTGCCGATCTTTTTCATGGTTTTATGGTGTTATTGAGAGGCAGAGCAGGTGTATTGGTAAGTTTTGGTGCGGGAGGTGTTAATTGGAGCGTTTATGGTGTACTTGAGGAGATTTGTGGTGTTATTGAGCGTAATTTGGTGCTATTGGCCAGGATTTTACCCGAATCAAACCCGATCCTAACTTAGGCTCTTTCCTACTTCAATTTGGCTTCTATAGCCACTGTACAAGGCAATGGCTCAGGTCATGAGAAGACTTATTTCTTTGACATTAAAAATTGTGCATCGATTTTTGTGCAACTTGCTCGGGTGTGGAACCATAGTAGTATGAGTGTCATTCATCGTCAGGGGTAATCTGGATAAGTTCATCGATAGACGGGCCAATTTAAGTGAAAATTCGTGTCGTGAGAGTTTTTAATTTGTTTGACTTTAATCTTTTTGTTAGTTAGTGAATTGTGTGTGAATGTGTAGATTGTAGTGTTTGTGAGTGTGTTATGTGAAGTACATGGATGTGTGCATGTCAAAGCCATGAAGGGCTTCCCTAAGTTCTTTAAATTTTATGGGAACTCAATTTTGGGCCCTCCACATGTTGGTCTTTAGCTCTTACAACTAGGAGTTGAGTGCTTAGGACCACTCGTGTGAGGTTTTTACAAACACAAGTCAAGAAGTAGTTTGATGTTCTATGTCAGGTGGGTTCCATTACTAGTCCTCTAGGATAGTCCTTAGGAAAATTCTAAGACTAGATCCTAGATTCTTAAAGAGAAGAACTTGACCTCATCAAAAATGAAGTCAACAAATGGACCTTCGATAGGTGTGGTGTGCCTCATCAAGAATTGACTTGATTTTCAACTGCATTTAAATTCTTTAAATTTAATGAATGTCTCATCTTTATGTTTAAGTAGATATAGCTAGGTAAAATGAAAAAAAAATTCATCAAAAAAATGACATGGTATTTATGATTTTGATAAGAGGAGGAGGGAGAAGGACCTCAAACATCTGAATGCACAATTTGCAAAGGTACAGTAGCCCTAGTAATGGATTTGGAAAAAGGTAACTTCCGAATTTTGGACAAATTACATAACATACAAGAAGTCTTATGACTATCTTGTTGTAAACTAAGAGTGGATGGAGCAAGAACATGTTGAATGTGATGATAAGGATGCTCAAGTCTTCTATGTGATTATTTTAGAACAAGATGAACAAAGATAGGAGCTAGATCTGGAGAAGTGATGAAGTCGTATTAAAGAAATTTGATTAAATACAACCCTTGTATGCAAAGCCCCTCAAGGAAAACGTTGTTGGTCTACAGATCCATAGTAGGGTAAACATTAGCACTAAATGTAATAATATAATCATTTTGAGTAGTTAACTTATGAAACAAAAGTAAATTGTAAGTTGATAGGTAAAATATAAATATTTGAAAGTAAAAGCTTACGCGTGGTTATGAGAAACAACCCTTGACCAATGTGAGGAATAAGATTTCTATTTCCAATGGTAATAGAGTTGTCACATTTGCAATCTTAGATGTATTGAAACTGATTTGAGGTGACAGTAAAATGTTGGGTAGCACCACTGTCCAAGATCCATTGTTGTTTAGAATTGGACATTGAACCAAAAATGAGAGCGGTTGAGGGCTGATAGGTGTGATCATGCCTATGCCAACATTTAAATGTGGAATGGCCAACTTTATTACTTATTTGGCAAATGATATTTTTCTTACGGCTGGTAGAGAAGTTGCAAGGTCTTGTGGAAGGTTATCCTTTGGATTGATTGAATGAATTTTTGTGAGAACCGAAATTTTGCATATTATAGTTGTATGAATTGATAGTGTGTCCCTTGTTCTTGTTGCAATATGGAGCAACCAACTCTGTGGGATTATCAGCATGAGTTTCTTTGGTCACTTCTTGCGCCAAGGTAAGTTCCTCACTGCAAAGTAGTGAATTTAAATCTTCCAAGCCAATCAGTTACAAATTAGTGCAGATGGATGTCTTGAACGCATGATAGGTGGAGGGAAGGCCATTAAAAGTATAAAGCATTGTGCCTTCGACATAAAAAATTACTCATGCAGTTGCAAGAATATCCACTTTGTATTTGATTTTGGAAAGATATTCATGGTTTTATCTCCATTTGAAACATTGTGTATTTCATATTTGATTTGGAGAATGCGAGATCTATTGGAAGATTGAAGTCTTTGTTCTACAGTGCTCCAAATTTCAACACAAGTTTCAAGATTAAGAATATAGTGAAAAATAGATGGGGAGACAACAAGGCGGCAACAAGATTTTGATCCATGAAAACCCATTTGCTATAATCAGGATAGGGAATATCAATTCCTAAAGAATCTTGGATGAATTGGTTAATACGGTGACAAGGAAGGCACTCAAACTCATTGGTACGAAATAATTCCAGCACATGTGCCCTCCAAATGGGATGATTATCGACAATATGTTCAGCAGAAAAGACATTTTCAATGTTTCCCAATAAAAATTTCAGCTGGGTTGGTATGTGCCGATTAGTTGGTAGAGATTTACTCAGATTGTTTGCCATGGCAATGTGATAGAAGACTTTGATCGGAAACTCATGAGAAAAGCGGGGAGAAAAAGAATTGAGCCGTGATGAAGAGAGGAGCCAGGATGCGAAGAAACACCAGGGAGAGGAGCAGCCAAGCCAACGGAGAGAAAAAGAACAGCTAAGAGGCTAACACTCTATTACCCAGATGACATGCAAATAGAAGCAAAAGGAAATAGAATGTTTATTTATTGTAGAATAAAAAGAGATGCACATAACATTAATGACACTCTATATACATATAGGTTACAGCAAACAGATAAAGAGAAACTAAACAACACTACACCGTACTCGTAATGACACACGTGAACCAAAACACAGCAACAGAAGAAAATAAGCAAAAAGCTAAATAAGAACTTAACACCATTACACCAAACACAACCTTAGTTACAGGCTTTGCCTAACCCTGGAAACAAGCTGTAAATTCATACGCAGTGTCTAAATTGTTGTTATTGCATCATTTAAGAACTTGAGACTGATACACCAAAAGGAATGGTATTTATCGCTTTAACTCAAAAGCTTTACTCTGCATTTGAGATAATTTCTTCACAATTTTACAATCAGATGCCAAAGCAACATTCGGCTATAACTATTATTATTTTTAATTCTTATGATGATATTTCTCTAACTTGACTTTGTTAAAATGGATAATCCAATATAGTAATTTGTTCAGGATTTTTTTATAAAAAAAAATCTATATTATTCACATTATTTTTCCTTTTTATTAAAATTGTTTACAAAGTTTCATAATTAATTTTGTAGATGGTTATAATAGTCCCAAATAGATCTTAATCTGATGAGCATTTGAGATGGATGCAATTATAGTATAGATATTATAATAAACAATAATATATCAGTATATTTTACATAAAATTTAAATGTTATTTTTAGTTAATCATCTCCTCTTTCATGCTAATCGTATTTATCTATCTTGTTGATGCCTCTTCTAACCACATTTTAAATTCCCAACCAACATACATTTTGGTTGCTCAATTTAACATTTATGATTATACTATATTCAGTTTATCATCCTCATGTCATTTTTTTGGGATAATTACATACACGACTTCAAGACAATGTTATTTACGAAACCAGCACCGAAATAATTTTTTGAACTATCAAACCGACGCATTTATGCATTCCACAATCCTACCATTGATAAATTGATAAAAATAAGAAACATAACTTGGGTTTTATCATGAATTTGATATATGACCGAGAATGTAAAAAATGTATGATAGAGCATGCTAAATTTGTAAATAGCAAAATCTGAGTGCCATGTATGCAATTGTCAGATAAATTATCAGCTAAATCACTAAAACTTCCATCCGATCTAAAGCCAAGGAATCTCACTACTCAGGTAGAAAACAAAGAAGCCAAAGCTGGAAGAAGGCAATTTCCGAATCACAAACACCTGATCTAATACCATGAGAAGGGGAGAGACCGGGAAACCCTATCCGAAGTCCCTTCCGCCTCATCATGGAATATACTCTGGCAATGCAGGTCAGCTTCTATGGCGTCTGAAACCGCATCGGTGCCCCCACGCTCATTCTCAACACCAGAGCACAAAACCCCCGCCGTCGAGACATTGTTAGAGGTTGCTTGTATATGAGAATATAGACCAAGTCCAGCGCCGTATTCTAGGTTAGAGAGCATGGGCTGACCACAGATCGGGACCCTATCGACTGACATTTCATGGCCAAGATTGATGCTAGGTGTATGCGTGGAGGATGACAGAAGAGAGAGAGCACAGTCGGAGTCGAAGACCTGAGATAATCGATCTGAGAACATTAAACCATTGCTGCTGCTCTCTGCTGCGGAAGAGATGGTGTTGAGGAGTGGCTGG